AAGTCTGCTAAGGAGAGCAGAGGCAAATCAAAAAATGAAAGGCATGAAGATCAGCAAATATGGACCTGCACTAACTCATCTTTTTTTTGCAGATGATTCACTGATATTGAGCAAAGCAGGGCAACAGGAGGCCAATGAATTGAGGACAATTTTAGAAAAGTACGAGGCAGCCTCAGGCCAGCTAATCAACCTAGAGAAATCCTCAGTTTTTTTCAGCAAAAATACTGATCAGAAAACAATGGATTCAATAAAAAGGGAGCTGGGAAAGATACAGGCAGTAAGTCAAGGGAAATATCTTGGATTGCCTATGATTGTCACATGGACCAAAGAGCAAATATTTAGTTTCATAAAGGACAAGATCAGAAAGAAAATGGACCACTGGAAGACAAAATTGCTCAGCCAAGCTGGGAAAGAAACCTTGATGAAAGCAGTGACATTGGCTACTCCTACGTATGCTATGTCCTGTTATAAACTCCCTAGGAAGCTCTGCAAGGACATTAGCACCATGATGGCAAGATGTTGGTGGGGACAAAAAGAAATGAAGGACAAGCAACATTGGATAACATGGGATAAATTCACCAGGAGCAAGGCAGAAGGTGGGATGGGATTCAAGGATATTCAAATGTTCAATAAAGCTTTGCTGGCAAAACAGGTATGGAGAATAATGACACAACCAAATCTGTTGGTAAGTAAAGTATTGAAGGAGAAATACTTCCCAGAAGGGTCTGTGCTAGAAGGAAAAGTGCCAAAGAGTGCATCCTGGATTTGGCAAAGTCTTATGAGTGCCAGAGAGGTGATCAAGGATGGCTGTCAAAAGAAAGTGGGAAACGGAAAAGGCACTAACATCTGGGATGATAAATGGATTAACAATGGTAGAGATGGGAGGATAAGGACACAGAAACCAGAGGGCAGTGAATTGAAAAAAGTCTCACAACTCATGGCCCAACACAGGTGGAACAGAAATCTGATTTACAAGGTGTTTCACAAGGAAGATGCAGAACACATTTTGAGCATTCCAATAAGTTGGTCTGACCAGGAAGATAGCATGATATGGAAGCACAACAACAATGGTCAATATACAGTGGCAAATGGATACAAAATCCTGCAACAAAAGGAAATGGACAAAAAGGAAAAACGAAGCAGAGAGGAAGGATGCAGCTATCAACAAACAAACAAGGAACTGTGGGAAGCTCTATGGAAGATGCCTATCAAACACAAAATGAAAATATTTGTGTGGAAATGCATCAACAATGGACTACCAGTCAAGGCTCAGATTTTCAACAGAACAAAAAAAGGAGAACCAGTATGCTGTGGGTGTGGAGAGAGTATGGAGACCATCGAACATGTACTACTGCAGTGCAAGAAAGCAAAAGAAATATGGAAATTTGCACTGGTACAGTGGGATGGACTTCAAGACCAAACTGGATGCTTCAAACAGTGGTGGAATATGATGATGAATGCAAGAGCTAGGAACGAAGGGGATGATCGCATAGCCTTAACAGTTAATGTGCTATGGCAGATTTGGAAAGCGAGAAATGCAAGAGTTTTCAACTCATTGCAAAAGGAGCCTTTTAAAGTAAGTGAAAAGGCAACTGCAGAATGGAAGGAGTACCTGGATGCAGTTCAACACAATCAGAGGAGGAGCACAGCAGAAACAAGAAGGCAACAGGAAAGTGGACAAGAGGAACAAGCAGACACGGAGGCGGTAACTCTGAAGCTTGCAATCCAACATCAGAAAGGAAATAGTTCCTTTGGCATTGGCATCACAGCCTTGAATGCTGCAAACCAAGGAATAGCAGCCTGGTCACTAAGAGAGAGATCATCAGGGAACAAAGATCAAGACCTGGCAGAGGCAGTGAGATTATGCATGGTCAAGGCAGCAAGGAAAGAATGGAGGAAAATCAACATAAGGTTTGAAAATAAAAACATGATGGCACAGTTCCAAAGAGGGAAAGCATGGAATATAGCGTTAGATGTCATTTTAGAGGATGTCAAGCAAATGTCATTATGGTTTCGAATGTGCTCTTTTGGAAGATTGAATGAAGACAATGATAGCTTATGCTATAGCTTGAGCAAAATTGCTCTGTTGAATTTTTGTGATTTGGAGTGGAATTATGCCACTTTGTAGTGCTAAATGCACTCTTGTAAAGATAGGAGCCTTTGCTCCAAAAGTGTAAAACTTTCTCAAGTTATAAAATTCTATCGTTTCGGAAAATGTAAGTAAAGTAATTCACGTGTCTTCTAACTGTGACCATAATAATAATAATAATAATAATTAATTAATTAAGATGATGCCAACGATGCTGACCTTATAATATTCTGCAACTTTTAATACGTTCATACCATTATCCTTGACCAAAGTATAACTTTAATTACAGAATATAAGAATATATTTACCAACTAATCCCAAAATTTGGTTGGTTAATAGTTCAACTAACACAACTACTCTAACGATTGTTTGTGTTCAGGTATCCCGTTAGCAAAGAGGCAAAGACAAAACAGCAGGCGTTTCAGTTCAGGCGTGGATATAGATAGCATCATCTATATAGCAGGCGTTTAAATTGCATTATCTTTTTTTTTTAATCGGCACAAGAGTATCCTGACTTGCATCATACTAGCTAATTCCCTGCAGTTATGCATGCAGAGCCTGTCCAAGATACACAGCACATTATCAGCGGAAGTCGATCTGATGACCTTGAATAAAGATTCAAAGGCAGTAACCACACGAGCTGTTCTATTCAAAATGGTTGAGCGCTTGAGCTCCCTGCTGCGGCTGCACTCAAAGCTGCACCTTTAGTTTCATTTCGTATGCACCATTAAACTTTTGAGGGTAAAAGGCAAAATCAAAAGCCCAGAAAAGGGATAGTGTATGAATTAATACTTACCCTGGATTTATCATTGATGATGATGATTACAAGCCCAAAAAGTTCTTCAAAACTGTTGTATCTGTATGTTGCATGTTCCACATTGCTGCAGTCACACATAACACAACTGAGGTTTAATTGGTAAATTACAACAGTGAATTCAATCGTAACTCAAAATAAAAAAAAAAAAAAAATCTTGCATGATCCACAAGCAATAGGGAAACATGAGGGTGTACATTAAGGACCGCCGAGGCAAAACAATGATGGCAATTCGGCCTACTTTTTATCTCTTTGTAGAAAGAAAAGTCACCTGTTCTTTTCATCATAACTACTACTGTATCCTTCTAGGACAAGCATTTGTTTCAATCTTTATTATCGCTGAAAACAAGTAGTATTAAAAGTTAGGCTACTTAACATTTTGAATAGAATCCGTAACCTGCCAAGATACAGGAGAAAGAGTTACAGTCGCTTAACCAAATGAGGCCTAAGACCTATATATATATATATATATATATATATATATATATATATATATATATAACTCAAATTATCCAACTCGAAAATTAGTAAAAAATGACTTGGGAGATGAAGTAGACAAATCGAACGTCTGAAGCTTAGAATACTCAATAAAGTCCAGAAGATCAACGACTTCACCTTTCCCCATCCATTTTGAGGTCTATTTTGACCTATTCTCCATCGATCTTAAGGTCTAAGTTGAATTATTCTCTTCTTTCACTACAACGTGTCGGCTCCTTCTACTTCTCATGAATTCCATTCCCCGGATTGAACCCTGGTTTGACGGTTATGATTTGACAAACAAGCCCCCCTTTACCACAAGTAACCTAGGCTAATTGGTAAAAATCCGTTTGAAGAATCTCAAGAAATCCTACTTTTGATTATTAGTACTTGTTTCAGGAGCACTTTCACTGAAATTATTGCGTGTAAAATAACGAGAAGGCGTCCATGGCAAGAAATCGCCTAGGAGAAAGCTTCCTCGCTCAGTCACTAATCCCTCTGTCTTCTACGTTTCACCCGATCTTAAAAATCATCAACCGGCTCATATTTATATACTTTCGCACGTCCAATATTTTTAATCCAATTACTTGTCTTTCAGGGTAGACTGCACCGCAATCATCATTTTGATCATTCGTATATCTGCATATAAAATAACTATTTATAACTGACTTCTTCTTCCTCCCTTCGATTCCTACGCTTCTGGGGTGTTTGTTTTCGGTATTCAAACACCCAGAGAGTCTTCTTCCTCTGCACCCAGGTAACATAAACAATTCCATTTTGCCTCCAGAATCTCTTACTTTTATTATCATTTTCCCTTCATCTTTCCTCCTTTTCTCTTGCCTTTCCGGAATGGCTATCAATGGGATTGTGCTTTGCGATTTTTTTTTTTCCTGGGCAGCAATATTTCTGATCTTGCTTCTTTTTTGTTCCTCTACAAGTGCAGTTGCTCATTCCGTCAACCATTTAATATTTCCTGGTGGCGGATCAGAAACTTGGTGGGTGCAATTGCTTATTCCGTCGTACTTTCTAAATCAAGACTGCACAACTCATTTAAGATCATTTGGGCTGTAAATAGCTCAGCGTGGTTGCGCCGGCCCTTATCGGAAAGCCTTCAACTAAAAATAGTCCATCATGGGGCCGGTGTAACTCAATCGAGCAACTTGACTTGAGCCCGAGAGTAGCTCGCCCGTTCTACTGAAATTTGTGGCGAGACTACAAAGATAGAGCGGAAAAGTAAATGCAGTTAAATAGGATATTCACAATTTGACTGTTAAACCAACTCCAGAGGAAGAAAAAACCATGCAATTGCTACTGAAACTCATCATCCAGTCATTTGAAAGAAGAGGAATCTCTACTAACTCAAACTTTTTCGTCGTGTATTCATATTATTGATGGAAACCCTTGGAAGGTTTGTCGTCTAATAACGCCAAAATGGACCGATAAAAGGCAAGAAAGATCTAATCTCTCTAGAATGAGGATTATGACCCCCCCCCCAAGTTTGAAAACGTTCCAAGTACTACTAATACTACTATTTTGCTGCCCTTATTCAGCCCAACTCGTCTACCAACTTGTTCCACCAACTCCATTTAGAGTGGAGATATGTAAATTACCTCAAAAAATTTTTAATAGGATTTTTCTAATGGGGTAGACGTTAGCATACCTAAATTTCATCCAATCTATCATGTTTATGTATACATATAAATAATTATTACCTTCTCTTACATTTATGCACTTTCTTTAAAGCGTTAAGATGGACCTTGTCCTCTAATCCCTTGAGTAGGTGAATCTCTCTTCTCTTAAGATTAGATATTATAGGTGTTGCCATTTGTACGCGTATAAAATTAGCTCAAACTTGTCCATCTCTTCTTCTTTGTCGCTTTTATTCATTAGCCACTTTTTTTTTTTTCAATTCAGAACGAAAGCGCAGCCGCGGAGCGATTGGGTTATAGAAGCAAGTACGAGGAAGGAGTGAGGTGCGTGGAAGGTCTCAATACTCTTTGGTAGTTGTGTAATTTGCTTATATCGTAGAAGACATAATTCTCTTCATATCGCCATCAAAATGAGGGGACTCAAAAACTTGTTGCCTCTACTCTTCCTGTTTGCTTGCTTCTGGTTAGAAGATTGCATTGCTATGGACACTATAACAATCGATCACCCAATAAAAGATCCTGAAACAATAGTTTCCTCAGGCCAGTCGTTCACATTAGGATTCTTCACTCCCGTAAATTCTAATAATCGGTATGTTGGAATCACTATCAACATTCCAGCACAAAGTGTTGTGTGGGTGGCTAATAGAGACAATCCCATAAAGGATTCTGCAGGATCGTTGGCAATATCAGGGGATGGTGATCTTGTGGTCTTGAACGGGCAGAAGGAAGTATTATGGTCATCTAATGTATCAAATTCTGTGGCAAATTCTAGCGCACAACTTCTGGATACTGGGAACTTGGTCTTGAGGGACAACTCAAACGGAAGAGTTTTATGGGAAAGTTTTCAGACTCCTACGGATACTATTGTGAGGACAATGAAAATAGGTGTGATAAGCAAAAATAACATGATCCGGCTGACCTCGTGGCGAAGTCCTTCTGATCCCTCAGTTGGAAACTTCTCTTTTGGCGTTGACCCTCTTCGACTCCCAGAGTTTTTCACCTGGAATCATAGCAAACCTTACTGGCGGAGTGGTCCGTGGAATGGTAACGTGTTTATTGGAATTCCTGCAATGGGTACTGCATACCAGAATCGATTTGATCTGGTAACAGATCAAAATGGATCCCAATATTTTACCCAATCTTTCACAAGTAATTTGGAATTGTACTACTATGTGTTGAATTCTTCAGGGGTTTTCATGGAGAAGGTTTGGCTTTATGGAGATGGACACTCCGATGTTTCGTGGACAAGTCTAGGGAGTCAATGTGACGTTTATGGCAAATGTGGACCTTTTGGGAGTTGCAATCCTCAGCATTCGCCAATTTGCACATGTCTGCAAGGTTTTGAACCAAAAAACAAGGAGGAATGGGAGGAGGGAAACTATACCAGCGGCTGCTCCAGAAAGGCATTGCTGCAATGCGACAGAAACATTTCTGCTGGCCAAGACGGGAAACCAGATGTATTTTTGACGCTTAACAACGTAAAGGTTCCCGATTTTTCTCACTTAATGCTGTTCCTCAGGGCGACAGAAGAAGAATGCGGTATCCAGTGCTTGAACAATTGCTCCTGCATCGCTTATGCCTATACTACGGGTATTGGATGTATGCACTGGAACAGTAGCCTAATTGACATACAGCAATTCTCTTTCAATGGGGCAGATCTTCACGTAAAGGTGGCCTATTCAAAACCAGGTACCACACTATGCTTAACTACTGTTGCAAACCTGTGTTCTTAAATGCAAACCTCATAGAATTTACACTTTGATTTTTGAAATCTTCTCAATCTATTTGTTTAATGACTAATGTTTCGACAGAAAAGAAACCAAATCTAACCAGTACTTTTTGTTCCCGTGCTCTAAATTCTCTTGACCAGCTTCAACTCCCTGGCGTGCAGGTTTTTCGAACAGAATAAAAGCAGTCATTGCAAGCACAGTAATATTGGGGTCTTTGTTCTTGGCCATATCAGCATATTTTTTGCGGAAGCGGTTGACTAGACATAGAGGTAACATGCTAAAATTGTCAAAGAGGAGTCGTTACTAACATGCTAAGATTGTCAAAGGGGAGTCTTTACTTGCTGCAGATCTATTCACATATTTGCTCATAATCAGGGAATAAGCAAAACGTCAATTTGACATTGTCTGAAGCCTGGGAAGTGTCCAGAATGGAAACCGGTGTGAGTGACAACTCAGAACAATCAAAGCTTGAGGAGCTGCCATTATATAGTTACGAGACACTGGCTAATGCAACCGAAAATTTTCATGCGAAGAATAAGCTGGGGACAGGTGGCTTTGGTCCTGTGTTCAAGGTATTTCATACAACTCAAGAATCAAATGGATTTTTGAAGGGATCCATGAATGATTTATTTATCTTGTTCAATTAATCTGCAGGGGGAACTTTTCAATGGCCAGCAAGTTGCGGTGAAAAGGCTTTCAAACTCTTCGAATCAAGGGATCAAGGAATTTATGAATGAGGTGGTTCTCATTTCTAAGCTGCAACACCGTAATCTTGTTAGGCTCCTGGGCTGCTGTGTCCAAAGAGAGGAAAAAATGTTAGTCTATGAATACATGCCAAACAAAAGCCTGGATTCCTACGTAATTGGTTAGTAAGTTAATGGTGTATATGTTGAATTCAAAGCCAAGCCTCAATTGATGACTTTTTCAAGCCAAAATTGAGGACTTTGAATTCTTTGGCCTAAGTTTCTAAATCCCACATCGGTTAAGTTTAACATTTGAGAGGTTGTTTGAGAACTATAAATAGCTCTCAAACAAACCAATTCAAGAACACCAAGCAAGAGCCAATAACTTGCTTTCTTCTCTCTCTTTGTAATATTTCTTCTAGTGAAATATTAAATTGTCGGTAGTGTCCGAGGACGTAGGCAAATTAGCCGAACCTCGTTAAATTCTGGTGTTCTATTTTATTGTCTATTTAGTAGCTATATTTGTAGGTATATTTGTAGTGAGTTATTGTGCAATTAAGTGCATATATAGGTGATTCTGTCTAGAAAATTGGTACTTAAGCAGGCCAGTGTGCCTCACCAAATATTTCCTGGGAATTACCATTTTGCAATTTTAGGTACAATAATTTACTCGTTATACCTTAACTTTGGTAGGGCTTCCGCAACAATTGGTATCAGAGCTCGAGGTTTCTTAGTATGCTCTGTGGTTGCAGCATGGTCTGATCTTCCACATCAGAAAAGATTTCTTGGGCTATTGTTACTCTACATTTAGGAGCTACTAAATATAATTAGTAGAGATGGCCGAAAGTAAATCTTCATCTACAATGCAAGCATCAACAAGCTCGTCATTATCTATTATGGCGAGAAATGTTATGACGAATACAAAATTAAATGTGGAGACATTTGATGGTACCGGTCATTTCGGCATGTGGCAAAGTGAGATTCTAGACGCGCTCTTTAATCAAGGTCTAGACATTGCCATCGAAAAAGAGAAACCAGAAGAGATTGAAGAGAAGGAATGGAGGACGCTAAATCGTTTAGCGTGTGGTACAATTCGATCGTGTCTTTCAAGGGAACAAAAATATGTGTTCTCAAAAGAAACCTCTGCAAATAAATTATGGACTGGATTGGAGGAGAAGTTCTTGAAGAAAAATTGTCAGAACAGGCTCAACATGAAGAAGCGTTTATTTCGCTTCACTTATGTTCCTGGCACAACTCTAAGTGATCACATCACTAATTTCAATCAGTTAATCACTGATCTGATGAATTTAGATGTGACATTTGAAGACGAAGATTTGGCTCTCATGTTGTTGGGATCTCTTCCTGAGGAGTTTGAGCATCTTGAAACAACTCTACTCCATGGGAAAGCTGAGGTGTCCCTCAGTGAAGTTAGCTCTGCCCTGTACAGCTATGAGCTCAGAAGAAAAGACAAGCAAAATAGCAGAGATGGAGCAGCAGAAGCTCTGGTAACTAGAGGACGCTCACAAAACCAGAGAAAGGGGACGAGAAGAAGATCCAAGTCAAGAGCCAGACTAAGTAAAGATGAGTGTGCCTTTTGCAGAGAGAAAGGGCACTGGAAGAAGGACTGTCCAAAACTGAAGGGTAGACCTGACAAAGAAAAAGCTGTTGCGGATTCAAATGTATCTGAGTGCATTGATCAAAACTCAGATTTTTCATTAGCTGTCATGCCTACTGGTCATTCTAGTACATGGCTATTGGACTCAGGTTGTAGCCATCATATGACGTCCAATAGAGAATGGTTCTTTGATTTCAAGGAAAAAGAAGGTGGAGTCGTCTACACGGCAGATGAGACCACATTAGCAACAAATGGGGTTGGTTCAATTCGGCTGAGGAATCAGGATGGATCAATTAAGATTCTAACTGATGTCCGATATGTGCCAGAATTGAAAAAGAACCTCATTTCTGTGGGAGTACTAGAATCAATGGGCTACAAGGTGTCGGCATATAATGGAGTGATGAAAATCATTTCAGGTGCATTGGTGCTGGTGAAAGGAATCCGAAAAAATAATAACTTGTATTACTATCAAGGTAATGCAGTTGTTGGAGTAGCGGCCGTGGCTTCCAGTGATGATCGAGAATTGAAAGTAACCAGATTATGGCATATGCGCTTAGGGCATGCCGGAGAAAAATCTTTGAATCTTCTGATGAATCAAGGACTATTAAAAGGAGCCAGTGTTTGCAAGTTAGATTTTTGCGAGCATTGTGTCAAAGGAAAGCAGACAAGGGTAAAATTTGGCACTGCAATTCACGATACCAAGGGTATTTTGGATTATGTGCACTCTGATGTGTGGGGACCTTCCAAAACAACTTCTTTGGGAGGCAAGAATTATTTTGTTACCTTTGTCGATGACTTCTCTCGAAGAGTATGGGTGTATACTATGAAGGCGAAAAGTGAAGTATTGGGAATTTTCATCAAGTGGAAAAAGATGGTGGAAACTCAAACAGAAAGAAAGATCAAACGCCTTCGAACAGACAACGGAGGTGAATACACTAGTGATCCGTTCATGGAGGTCTGTGAAAATGAAGGCATTGTTCGGCACTTCACAGTCAGAGATACACCACAGCAAAACGGGGTGGCAGAGCGTATGAACCGGACATTGGTGGAGAAAGTTCGGTGTATGTTGTCCAATGCTGAGTTGGGCAGACAATTTTGGGCTGAGGCTTTAGCATATGCAAATCACCTCGTTAATCGCTTACCATCAACTGCTATTGGCGGCAAAACGCCATTAGAGAAATGGTCGGGAAAACCTGCTACAGATTATGATTCCTTACATGTGTTTGGTTCTACTGCATATTATCATGTTAAAGAATCAAAGTTGGATCCAAGGGCGAAGAAGGCGCTCTTTATGGGGATCACAACAGGCATTAAAGGTTATCGCCTTTGGTGTCCCGAAACGAAAAAGATAGTTTTCAGCAGGGATGTCACCTTTGATGAATCTACCATGTTAACAAAGGTAGATGTACAGCAGAATGATAGTACTCCCCAACAGGTGGAGAGCACTCCTAAGCAGATGGAGTTTGAAAGAAGCATTATCAGACCAGCAGTGGATATCGGAGTAGATGAAAGGACTCCTATGGTAGAAGAAGAATCAACTGAAGAAAATGTTCCAGTTGAAGAACTTTCACAGCAACATGAATCAATTGCAACCAGTAGGCCAAAGAGGACAATCAGAAAACCTGCTCGTTTTGCTGATATAGTGGCCTATGCATCCCCAACCATAAATGTTGATATTCCTGCCACTTTCAATGAAGCAGCTCAAAGTTCGGATAAAGAAAAGTGGAGGATTGCAATGGATGAAGAAGTACATTCCCTTCATAAGAATCAAACATGGAGGCTAACCAGTCTTCCAAAGGAGAAAGAAGGCAATCGGATGCAAGTGGGTATATGCAAAGAAGGAAGGATTTCCTGACAAGTCTGGTGTTCGCTACAAAGCAAGATTGGTGGCTAAAGGCTACGCTCAGAAGGAGGGAATTGATTACAACGAAGTGTTTTCTCCAGTCGTGAAACATTCCTCCATCAGAATTTTATTGGCTTTGGTAGCACAATTGGATCTGGAACTTGTCCAATTAGATGTAAAAACTGCGTTTTTACATGGTGACTTGGAAGAGGAAATCTACATGACTCAGCCAGAAGGATTCAAAGTTGCTGGTAAAGAAAAGATGGTATGCAAGCTTGACAAATCGTTGTATGGATTGAAGCAGTCTCCAAGACAGTGGTATAAGCGATTTGACAAGTTTATGATGGGGCAAAGGTACACAAGAAGCAAATATGATGATTGTGTATATTTGCGCAAGCTACGAGATGGATCCTACATATATCTTCTTCTTTATGTTGATGATATGTTGATAGCTTCCAAGGATCAAGGTGAGATTGAAAAATTGAAATCTCATTTGAGTCGGGAGTTTGAAATGAAGGATCTCGGCGAAGCCAAGAAAATTCTCGGCATGGAGATAAGTAGAGATAGAAGATTGGGGAGGCTTTATTTGACACAGAAAGAGTATCTTAGTAAAGTATTAAAGAGGTTTGGTATGAATGAAAAGACTAAACCTGTTAGTACTCCACTTGCTCCTCATTTCAAGTTTAGTGCATCGTTATCTCCAAAGAATGATGCAGAACGAGAATATATGGCAAAGGTACCGTATGCAAATGCGGTGGGTAGCTTGATGTATGCTATGGTGTGTACAAGGCCCGACATTTCACAAGCAGTTGGAGTTGTGAGCAGGTACATGCATGATCCTGGCAAGGAGCATTGGCAAGCTGTGAAATGGATTTTACGGTATATTTTGAACACCGTAGATGTTGGATTAGTATTTGAGCGGGATGAGAAGATTGGTCAAGGCGTAGTTGGATATTGTGATTCCGACTACGCAGGAGATCAAGATACACGTCGATCAACGACTGGGTATGTTTTTACACTTGCTAAGGCACCAGTCAGTTGGAGGTCTACCTTACAGTCAACAGTTGCTTTGTCTACTACAGAGGCGGAGTATATGGCAGTTACGGAAGCTGTTAAGGAAGCAATTTGGCTTCATGGATTGCTTGATGAATTGGGAATTGGACAGAAGTCTATCAAAGTTCATTGTGATAGTCAGAGTGCTATTCATTTAGCAAAGAACCAAGTTTATCATGCAAGGACGAAGCATATCGACGTACGGTATCATTTTGTGAGGAAGATTTTGGAAGATAGTACGATACTACTTCAAAAGATTCAGACCAAGGAGAATCCTGCTGATATGCTTACGAAGGTTGTGACAACTATCAAATTCCAACATTGTTTGAATTTGATAAATGTTGTGCACGACTTGAAGATTGGCGCTTGACAACGCATTTGAAGACACCACCGAATTTGAGGGAAAAAAAATTTGTATTTTTGGTGGGATTAGAAATTATGCCAAGGTGGAGATTTGTTGAATTCAAAGCCAAGCCTCAATTGATGACTTTTTCAAGCCAAAATTGAGGACTTTGAATTCTTTGGCCTAAGTTTCTAAATCCCACATCGGTTAAGTTTAACATTTGAGAGGTTGTTTGAGAACTATAAATAGCTCTCAAACAAACCAATTCAAGTACACCAAGCAAGAGCCAATAACTTGCTTTCTTCTCTCTCTTTGTAATATTTCTTCTAGTGAAATATTAAATTGTCGGTAGTGTCCGAGGACGTAGGCAAATTAGCCGAACCTCGTTAAATTCTGGTGTTCTATTTTATTGTCTATTTAGTAGCTATATTTGTAGGTATATTTGTAGTGAGTTATTGTGCAATTAAGTGCATATATAGGTGATTCTGTCTAGGAAATTGGTACTTAAGCAGGCCAGTGTGCCTCACCAAATATTTCCTGGGAATTACCATTTTGCAATTTTAGGTACAATAATTTACTCGTTATACCTTAACTTTGGTAGGGCTTCCGCAACAGTATATACCTCTTTCCATTTAGGTTCCATGGACTCCAGAATACTAGCATATGTAGCATTTCAGATAAGCGTAGAAGTACTGTCCCAAAGAACCTAGTTTCTAATTCTCTATTTCATTCTAATCTAATTCTGTTCAGATTCAAAAAAACGAAATTTACTAGATTGGAACAGACGCAAATTCATCATTGAAGGGATTGGCAGAGGTCTCCTTTACCTTCACAGAGATTCAAGATTGAAAATTATACACAGAGATTTGAAACTAAGCAACATCCTGTTAGATGAGGAGCTAAATCCAAAGATATCAGATTTTGGCTTAGCAAGAATATTTGGAGGCAAGGAGGATCAAGCCAACACAAATAGAGTTGTAGGAACATAGTAAGTACATAATTTCTTCAATTGCTTTCTGTTCTATCATGAGTTACTCAAACTCTCTTCTTACCAACCTTAATTAACAAGGTGTAACTCCAGAACTAAATTTTCAAGCCTAAATAATGCATTGCAGCGGCTACATGGCTCCTGAATATGCGATGGGTGGCCAGTTTTCGGAGAAATCAGATGTATACAGCTTTGGAGTATTGCTATTAGAGATCGTAAGTGGAAAGAAGAATACCAGCTTCCATTACGAGGAGAACAAACTGAGTCTGATAGGATATGTAAGTTTCTACATGATTAGGGTCAATAAAACTTCATTTCCACTTTACTTAGCTGATCGCTAAATCCACTTCATGTTGTATTTTCAACATTTCAGGCCTGGAAACTGTGGACTTTAAAACAAGCCATAAAATTGATAGACCCACTATTATCTGATCCACGAATTGAAATGGAGGTATTGAGATATGTCCATGCGGGAATATTGTGTGTGCAAGAATCTGCCAGTGATAGGCCAAACATGTCTAATGTTCTTTCAATGTTGAACAGTGAAATTGCAGAACTTCCTCCTCCTAAATTACCAGCTTATACTGCAACATTGGGTTTATCAGAAAGTGAATCTTCACAACATTCTGTTAATGATGTCAGTTTGACAACTCTCCAAGGAAGATAGCACATTCTGTTGTTGTATGCATAGCCTTTAGCTTTCTTCTTGATCTTTCTCTGATGAATACTGCGTAGAGAAAAGTTGTAAATGAATGACTCAGCTGAGGATACATAGCTATTTTCTATTGTCACGCAATGAAAATTTTTACCATACAACACTTCAACTTCGTTCCAGTTACATTACTTGGTAACTGCGGAAGTTGGGGAATTCTTCAGAGACTATAGCTGCAATTTTTTAGCACGTTTGAATTGTGCAAGTACCCAGACTTGAACCTTCTTGGATGGCTTCAGGATATCTACTGCATCAGTCGCTTCAGGGTCTCAAAATGGAAGCTTTCAAACGCAGATACAGACTATAAATCATTATCATTACTATATAAAAAGTATGAATGTTGGTATTAGGGAGTGCAAGTGTAAGCACTTTTTATTTTAGTTTTTGTTATTCTTAAATTACCCTCATGTCTTTTAATTAGAATTATTGCATTTTAAGTGGCACTAATTAAAAAAAAATAAAACACTCCAATTGATTACATTTTAATTGTATTGGTAATTATAATTAAAAATTCCTCATTAAAAACTATTTACCTACCCTTGGACTCCATCTCCTATTATTATACGTATCAAAATTTCTTAATTGAAGCATGAAAAATTTCGCATTAGTCATTAGTTGAGATTGTTAAAAAAAATCAATTTCAAAAAATAGATATTCTCTAGAAAATGGAGAAACATACAATGACAAGAAAAAACCTTTATTCATCTGTATATCTTCACACAAATATCACGAGTAAATTTTACAATTATGCACTTTTACCAATAGGAAGAATTTTTCATGTTGCACCCAATAAAATTTCAATATACAAAAAATGATGACACCTTTATAACTGAAATAGCAATATTAAACTAAAAAAAAGAAATCTAAAATAGCACCATACAAACCACTATTATCATTAATATCAACCGATCAAAACAAGAAAAACTAAAATAAGATTGAAAACTATTTATAAAATGACATAAAGTAAATAGCAAATGAATTTAAAAGTTAGAATACAATTCAAATAATACCAAAGACAACATCCAAATCACTTATATCCAAGGGAAGACAAGCATTGTTATTGACAATAATACAGTAATACTTCATTTGTATTGGTTTGAACAAACCAAATCCATCCATCAAGTCAGAAACCATCTCCAATGATAAAATAAGAATTATAATAAGAGTAAATATAAAATGAAGAATGATAAAATGAAAATGATATCCAAATTGTTTTTGGTGATATCCAAAATACCCTTATTTTTCTAATGATTACATATATTTATTGTATTGCAATATTAGTGAATAATGGAAGCGGTTACGAAATGAAAAGCTTTAAAATTAAGTAAATTTCATTTATGGCGATAGTTGTAATTAAACAGATTTAATGCATTCCAATAATTGATAATAATGATATCCAAATTGTTTTTGCTGATATCCAAAATACCCTTATTTTTCTAATGATTACATATATTTATTGTATTGTAATATTAGTGAATAATGGAAGCGGTTACGAAATGAAAAGCTTTAAAATTAAGTAAATTTCATTTATGGTGATAGTTGTAATTAAACAGATTTAATGCATTCCAATAATTGGTAATAATGATAGCAGTTATGGATTCAAAGTTGGCAATTAAAAACTAAAACATTGCAATATACAAAAAATTAATATTAAAATTATTAATTAGCCACAATTCTCATTCCAATTTCATGATCATAAAAAAACTAATATTAAAACCAAAAATATTGTGCTCATATAAAAAAAAGTAGACTTGTTGCTATTGCTTCGCATTGGATTGTGCTAAAAACATGAATAAAAGAAAAGGAAAATAGAAAAACTCCAACTATCTCTATCTATAAAATTTCAATTGTTATACTGTACAAGCTAAAAAAATATTACGTGATGGATCATTTATACTCCATTATTGACAAAAATAGAATTAACATAATACAAAGAATTCAAATTACATTTATGTTTATTTTTCTAACTTAATTATATTCTTCGTGTATAAAAAAATTGTGATGATTGTGGTTTATATGCAATAGAGTCATGAATATACAATAATTTTGGTAAAGCATGATATTATCAATATTTGATATGTTAGAGTTCAAGCTATAAATCAAAAAGTGTTTGGTTCATGATTTCAAATTCGATCTTAAGGGATATGTCAACTATATTGAAATGTTTTCTGTCTCTTTTCATTTAATAAAATTTTTAAAAGTAACTAGTTTAAAAAAATAAATAACATAAAAATATTATATTATGATGTTGATGATCAAAATTTCATAAAAAAATTTAGTATCTAAAAAATAATATATTTTAAGATATTACAATTGCATGTGAACTATTACTAGTATAGATAAACATATAATAGATATGAGTACTTGAATAGTAATAGATAGACAAATATAGATTATGCATCTATACACTTTCCCTTAAACCTTACACCCACTACATTCTGTCTTGGCCATGTTACATTGCTCTTCATTCATCTGCCACTTTCTTTTTTTTAATTGTATTTGCCACCTTAATTAACAGCAAATCAGTTATTTTTATTTTGGTAGGACTAAATTAATTAAACTAAGTTAGAAGTATTCGCTGGAAGAATCTTAGCAATTTGGCAAAAATACAAAGTTCAGAGTGGTTCAGTTACATTTTTATAGATCAAATAGTCCGGAGGAAGAGACATCATACAATCGCCACTAGAAACAGTAATCCAATTATCCCAATTCCCAAAGAGGAACCTCAACTATTTGGACCCTTTTCTTTTTCTAAATCACGCGTTGATTATTTGGAATTTAAAATACGTCGGTTGGTGGTCTGCCGAGCGGCGACGCCAAGAACGACCAATCAAAGTAGATGGTTGAGACTTGAGATATAAAGAAAAGAAGTAAGGTGAAATATCTCTGTAGCTTGAGGATCATGACAAAGTTCAAACACTTTTTTATTCCTATCAGTTCCATTTACTATCCTTAATTGACTCAACTGGTGCATGTATTTTACATTTTTTGCTGCTTTCGATGATTAACAGGATTTCCCAAGTCCGATACAAAGCGCAGACTTGGAGCAACTTGAGTGGAAGTGAGCAAGTAAGAGGAACAAACGAGGTTCATGGAAAGTCACAATACTCTCAGCAGCTGCATTTCTTGCATTGTTTCTTTAAAAACCATATACATTTCTCTTCACTTGGCCATCAAAATGAGGGGACTCAAAAACCTGCTCCCTCTCCTTTTCCTGTTTGCTTGTTTTTGGTCAGAAGTTTTCATTGCTCTAGACACCATAACTATCAACCAGCCAATGAGAGATCCTGCAACTATAGTTTCCGCAAGCCAAAACTTTAAATTAGCGTTCTTCAGTCCTGTAAATACTAGCGACCGCTATGTTGGAATCATTCTCAATATTCCAGCACAGAGTGTTGTGTGGGTGGCTAACAGAGACGACCCCATTACGGATTCTGCAGGAATGTTGACAATTTCAGAAGATGGTAATGCTGTGATCTTGAATGGGCAGAAGAACGTACTATGGTCGTCTAACGTAGCAAATTCTGCGGCAAATTCTAGTGCACAACTTTTGGATACTGGGAACTTGGTCTTGAGGGACAACTCAAATGGAAGAATTTTGTGGGAAAGTTTTCAGACTCCTACGGATACTCTTGTGAGGACAATGAAAATAGGCGTGATAAGCAAAAATAACATGATCCGGCTGACCTCATGGCGAAGTCCCTCTGATCCCTCAGTTGGAAACTTCTCTTTTGGCGTTGACCCTCTTCGAATCCCAGAGTTTTTCATCTGGAATCATAGTAAACCTTACTGGCGGAGTGGCCCATGGAATGGAAACGTGTTTATTGGAATTCCTGAAATGAGTTCTGCATACCAGAATCGATTTGATCTGGTGACAAACCCTAATGGATCTGAATATTTTACACACTCCTTCATCAATGATCTTGCTTTGTTATACTATGTATTGAATTCTTCAGGGGTTCTAGTTGAGAAGGTTTCGTATTATGGAGATGGACACTCCAAGGTTACGTGGACAAGTCTAGAGAGTGAATGTGATGTTTATGGCAAATGTGGCCCTTTCGGAAGTTGCAATCCTCAGCATTCGCCAATTTGTACATGTCTGCAAGGTTTTGAACCAAAAAACAAGGAGGAATGGGACAAGGGAAACTGGACTGGTGGCTGCTCCAGAAAGGCATTGCTGCTGTGCGACAGAAACATCTCTGCTGGTCAAGTGGGCAAACCAGACGGATTTTTGAAGCTTGCAAACATAAAAATTCCAGATTTTGCTCATTTAATGGAGCTCCTCAGGTCAGCTACAGAGCAAGACTGTGGTAATCAGTGCTTGAACAATTGCTCCTGCATAGCATATGCCTATAGTACAGGGATTGGATGTATGTACTGGAGCAGCAGCCTAATTGACATACAACAGTTCTCTTTTAATGGGGCAGACCTTCACATAAGGGTGGCCCATACGGAACTCGGTAATACATTGTGCTATGCTATTGTTGCTGTTGCATACCCGTGTTCTTAGATTCAAACCTGATAGAAATAGAATTTACGCTGCTATTTGTAAAATCTCCTCAACCCATTTTCCTAATGATTACCTTTCAACCGAAAAGAAATCAAATTGAATGATTACTTCCAGTTCTTTTGCTCTAAATTTTCTTAACCAGCTTCAACACCTGAACGCAGGTTTCCGGAAGAACATGAAAGCCATCATTGCAGGCACAGTAGTTTTGGGACTTTTATTCTTGGCCATATCGGCATTCTGTTTAAGGAAGTGGTTGACAAGGCACAGAGGTAACATGCTAAATTTGCAGAAGAGTACGGTCATCACTTACTACACATCTACTTACATTTTGGCTCGTAATCAGGGAATAAGCAAAATGCTGAATTGCCATTATTTGAAGAGTGGGAAGCGTCTAAAAAGGAAAGCATTCTGAGTGACAAGCCAGAACAACCAAAGCTCGAAGAGCTGCCGTTGTACAGTTATGAGACACTGGCTATTGCAACAGATACATTTCATCTGAAGAATAAGCTAGGCACAGGTGGCTTTGGTCCAGTGTTCAAGGTGTTTTCTGCAACTCAAGAATTAAATGGATTGAAGGAATCCATGAACGATTTACTAATCTTGTTCAACTTATTTGCAGGGGATACTTTTAAGCGGCCAGAAAATTGCGGTGAAAAGGCTTTCAAATTCTTCGAATCAAGGGATCAAAGAGTTTATGAATGAGGTTGAGCTCATTTCCAAGTTGCAACACCGTAATCTTGTTAGACTCCTGGGGTGCTGTGTCGAAAGAGAAGAAAAAATGTTAATATATGAATACATGCCAAACAAAAGCTTGGATGCCTATCTATTTGGTTAGTAGATGAAAGATGATTAATCCTGTTTTCCTTAGAGATGTTGCAGTTCCATAGACTTCTGATTGCTAGCACATTAGAGCACCTACTTTAATGAACTGTACTAACCGTCTACTCCATTATCGTTTCAGATTTACAAAAACGAGATTTACTTTATTGGAACAGACGCAAATTAATCATTGAAGGGATTGGCAGAGGCCTCCTTTACCTTCACAGAGACTCAAGATTGAAAATTATTCATAGGGATCTGAAACCAAGCAACATCCTCCTAGACGAAGAGCTCAATCCAAAAATATCAGATTTTGGCTTAGCAAGAATTTTTGGAGGCAACCAGGATCAAGCCAACACAAATAGAGTTGTAGGGACATAGTGAGTACATACCTTCTTAAATTACCTTCTGTTCAATCATGATAAATTCCAACTCTCTTCTTACCAACATTAATTAACAAAACTACAAAACTAAATCTTCATGCCTGAATAATATGATGATGCAGTGGCTACATGGCCCCTGAATATGCGATGAAGGGTAAGTTTTCGGAGAAATCAGATGCATACAGCTTCGGGGTATTGTTATTAGAGATTGTAAGTGGAAAGAAAAATACTAGCTCCCATGATGACGAGAATGATCTGAGTCTGATAGGATATGTAAGTTTTCTGCCGATTATGGCCAATAAGAACTTCATTTCGATCGTTTAGCTACTCGCTAAATCCACATTTTGTCATGTTTTCAACATTTCAGGCCTGGAAACTATGGAATGAAAACGAAGCCGTAAAATTAGTAGATCCAGCATTATCTGATCCACGGGTTGAAATGGAGATCTTGAGATATGTGCACGTGGGACTACTATGTGTGCAGGAATCTGCCAATGATAGGCCAAATGTGTCTAATGTTCTTTCAATGCTGAACAGTGAAATTGCAGAGCTGCCTCCTCCTAAATTACCAGCTTATACTGCAAGATTGGGTTCAACGGAAAGTGAAGGTTCGCAACAAAGTGGACATTCTGTTAATGATGTCAGTTTAACAATTATTCAAGGCAGATAGAAGTTGTAAACAATTGAGCAGTATTATATCTAAGGTTGCTACAAGTAAGTAATCCTATTAGCATGCATCACTTCCAAAATTTTTCTGTAACATCTGTTGGTAATTATGCAAGTCTGGAATGCTTTAGAAGAACTATGGTGGCCAATCTTTTAGCACGTTTTCCTTTGTGAAAGTACTTGATAACTTTTTTCAATGGCTTCAAGATATTTATCATATCAGTTGCAGCACAGGCTCAAAATGGGGGCTTTCAAACGAGGGATGCATTTGCTTATTTGTTACAATAGCTGCCGCTAATGACTAATCTAGTGAGTCAGGAATTTCCTAGAAATATCAACGAGACACAAGTAAGAGGAAGAAGAAATGGAGTGCAAAGTTTCTGCAGTTTCTTGAATCACAGACACAATTTTCTCTCATTGGGTCCCCGAAATGACAGCACTGACAAATTCATTGCCCAGTATTTCTCCTTTTGTGCTTGCTTTGTATAGAAGACGGCGGAGCCTTAGACACCATTACCATGATGGAGCCCATTCAGGATGACAGGACCCCAGCCATATTTGATTAGCACAAGTCCCAAATTCAGGAAAATTCAATGGAATCAAATTGGATCAGAAGTCTACAGCTGTGGAGTGTAATTATCAGATTTCCAACTGAGAAGCAAAGCAAAAGTTTCTGCAGTGAAAAGGATCAGCTGAGCTTTGCTTGAACAGGTAATTTTAAAATAATTAAAATGAATTAATTTTATTCAAAAAAAATTTTTTTTTACGTAAATCAAATTGATATAAAATTGTTTCACAAAAGAACTTTGGTTTATAAGGTTTTAGTAATTTCATATCTAGATTATGGTGATTATGAGTCTATAAAGGTAAGTAAAATGTGATTAGATGATGAGGGTAAAAATTAATTTTTTGTAATGTATTAAAAGATTTCATAAGTATTGATTTGTGGTTTCTCCATCAGACGCGAGTCTGACGCTAACTTTGCTATATCTTCTTTCTTCTGGCTACGATCCGGGTCAAGGGGAAGGAGACAACTAAACATGTTTAAATCATGCCACGTGTACTTCCACGTGGTCGGTTTATATCACCATTGCTCCTGCATAGCTGACACATTTCCATGGCTACAACCCCTCATCCGCCATTTCAAACTGCTTTTATTCTCTACGCTCATAACTTGATATTAGCCCTCAAATTTTAAGGAACTGAATTAGCCTTGTGCACGTTCATTAGCAGGAACAAATAATTTGTGGGGGGTTTATTGGATAGCTGGCAAAAACCTTTCAATCTAAGCAGATCAAATCGGAGTATGGGCTCAGAGACGTTTCTTGAAGTGTTATTGGCAATATTGTTACCCCCTGTTGGAGTCTTCCTCCGTTATGGGTGTGGGGTAATGCCTTTATTTTTCTTTGTGCATTAGCTTCATCTGTACGAGTTTTATAACAAAATGTGCTAAAGAACTTCACCGCAATGAATTACAACTGCCATTTTAATCTTTCTTTCTTCGGATTAGTTATTAATGATGGCAGGCATTGACATTGTTTCCTTCTTTTGGCTTTATTTTTCTTGAAATTGCAGGTGGAATTCTGGATTGATTTGTTGCTGACTATACTGGGATACATACCGGGAATCGTATATGCAATCTATGTATTAGTGGGATAGCAGGAGTTGGATTTGTCTTTTGTAGATCTATTTCATGCTTCTTAGAATAAACTGCTAATCTCTTGTGGTTCCTTTTCCCAGTTGGCACTTATATCATATGTGTATGTTTACAATGACCAAATTAAGATCTGTTTGTTCTGTCTCATGTCTATTATTTGATCTAGTTGGTTCAAGCCAAGATCACTGGTAATATAATTAAAATCCACATTAGCCGGTTAAAACCTTCATGACAACTTCTGCATTCTTCATCAACGAGGAAATTCTAGAGTTCATATAGGGCTAAGGTGTTCTCTTTGTAATTAGGAAGGCCTTCTGGAGCAGGGGATTTTGATGGCTTCTCCGCTAACTTCTCTATTGTCGTTGACTGAGTAAATAATCCAGTTGCATTGGAGATGGAAGTTTTGTCAGCCAATGGAGTTCTTGAGCTTGAGGGCGGACTAGAGCCTGGGACTGTGTTAGGCAGCACGTCCTGTTTCTGACCATGTGCCATGATGACATTGTTGTCACCATTCAATTTCGATATATTGTTGTCAACCTGAGAAACAGGGCGACCATTATCATGTTCTTTCTGATCTGTCAGCATTTCCCTGCTCAAATCAATGACCTCAAAAATACCTGCTTAAATCATTAACTTGATCCCTAAGATTTGCCAAAATTTTTGCCTTGTCCTCAACTGATGAATGCGAATTATTGGCATTGTGTTGCTTGCAGCTATTTTTCTCTTTCTTAACCGGAGCTGATGGTTGTGGTTGAAGGACAGGATCAGTTCTTTGCACCTTAGCATCTCTGCTTAACCTACCATTCAGTCTCCCCTTAACCCTTGTCCTTTCATCAGTGTGGCCAACTCTTTTTTGCTCACATTTCCCGGAATGAACTTTCCTGCATTTTGAGCAAAATTTTTCTTCTGTTTCCCCGCATGTACCAGACTGAAATCTCAAACTTGAATCTGACCCAGATTTCTTGGTGCTCCAACCTTGTGGGGAACAACTCTTGAGCTTTCCATCTGATGAAACATCTCTTAGCTTTATGTCTTTAACAGGATTAGTGCTTTGTGAACCGTGTTTCATGCACCTTGTCTCTGATGAAGTCCTTGCTTTTAGAGGTTTATCAGGTGTTTTCCTACTTGTAGGCCCAGATTTTGTAGGTGGGGTGCACTGCATTTCAAAATGAAACTGTAAACCTTGTCCAACAGTTGGCATCAACGATTTCTGCTGCACAGGAGAGACATATCACTGAACAGCAAGCCGCACAAATGAACTAAACTAAAGAGTTCTTATTCAGGGTAAGTAGATCAATGTGTTCATAAAAATTAGCCGGTGAAACTGAAAGTACCTCATCAAAAAACCCAATCTTTGGTGATGGCATGCGAAGATATGATGGTTTAAGCTTTTTCCTAGATTCAGTTGGGACATGAGAAGCATCAGCTGAACCTTGCTTGCTCTGAAGAACTAGAGAATTTGTTTGCTTATTCAGCAGGCAAGCAGTGAATTTTCTGTGGAGGTTATTTGTCAAATGTGGTGATGGATTTACTTCATCTTGTGTATTGGTCCTTGTCAATGTAACTGGAGTATCAAAATGAACTTCTGTATCATTAGATTTTTGCTTGGTTCTTGATCCTGGTCCAGAGGATGACATACCGAAGGAAGAACCAGCGGGTGATACGGAAGAAAAATTGTTGGAAAGTGACAATGATTGAGTTGACAATCTACAATTTCTCAACCCTTTACTTTTGGACAGGTATCTCACTGCAGCGTCAGAAGTGGAAGTCGAGTCAGACACTGTGCTGTTTCTTGATCCTGTTTTTCGTTTCAGAAGAGAAGAAAGAACTTTAATAGATGACGCAGTTGTACTTCTATCATGTGAAGAACTAGAAATTGTTGAAGCTTTGGCAGCACTCAGAAAATCAAATTGAACCAGAGCTGGATAAATGCATGAGTTTCCCAAAGCAGATTTCTCAATTGGTTACATACTTGCATCTAAACACGTACAAAAGTTCGAAGTTCATTGTATTCCAAGGATGTAACGCATTACCAGATGAAGTTTTGGCAGCTACATTCTCCACTTTAGCACTCTTGCTTTGTCCCATCAATGCATTTTTCATTCGCCTGAGTACCTTGGGAGCCTTGAGAGGCAGGGAAGGGGTCTCTTCTCCTTTAGACATGTGCTTCATTGATCAAAAGATGAGAAAAATTGACGATGTCAATCATTTGGAACCTCAATAATTTGTTTATGCTAAAACATGAAGAAACTATGCAATTGAAATATTTCTTTTTGCCCTTTATTCCCCCCCCCCCCCAACTAATTCCCCAAAAGAAAGAATACAGCACCTCAGCTGTTTGATTACAGGAAAGGGACCTCATTCAGCAACTGGAGATGATACACTTTCTATTAAACATGCTACTGAGCAAAAGAAGGCATCAATTCATTCTATGCAATTATGCATTGGCTGTACAATGAGGAAATGACAAACCTCAGCCTTATTCTTGACTGATCTTTGAGTATTGACGTTTCTTCCCTCTAAAGCTGATGATTTAATCTAGAAAACCAAAGGACAAGTTGATTCATTCTCAATGAAATAAGCAACACATTTCAGATTCTGATGATTTGACGTACCTTATTCTGAATGCCAATCTTGGTTTTCCTTGAAGCTGAAAAGAGCACCATACAATAAGCATTGGTTCTGATAAATAAAAAAATGAATAGCAGAATGAAAAGATACCAGCTGAGCAATTTATGAAGAGGGAATGACTTCCACAAACAAGCAAAGGACCATTGGAGGCCACAAAAGTATAGATTCCCTAGGCAAGAGGCTTATGTGCAAACAGGATATTCCTGCTCCACAAAGCACATTTACTTTCAGCCTAGTACCTCTCTCAGAACACCATTTCAACAGCGCACAGAAGTCATGACTGCGTACAAACATGTAATGACATACCCCGTCAGATTATCAACAACTTACGGCTTGTTTAGTACTAGGCTGCCATTATTCATCACTAAATCTCTCCAACAAGCTATAGTTTCTCTATGTCAGTTAACATGCAGAAAAGGGGACACTGTAAGACCATCTTTGTGTCTTATTAATCTCGGAGTAAAGCTCAAGCCTTGTGCTCAATTGCTCTGAACAGAAAGGAAAGAGAAGGAAAAGGCCTGGGTCAGCTCTTCTTCAAGTTCATCTCAGTTGCTACAAAATGTACTTACTTTCCGATTTAGATATCATGCAAGCTTGCATTTCTAGATGGTAGTTCACAACTTGCACTAACGACACTCAAAATTTTATTGGGTTCATATTTCAACACACGCTTATAAAAGAACAGATCAAACTTAAAGCTACCTAGAGAAAAAGCATCATTCTTACCAGTATCAGGTGGTCGTTGCATTTCAGCTGTCCTGAAGCCTTCATTAATGAAAGTTAACTCATCACCATCAAGAATTCCTAGTAAAAGGAACAACATTCTCAAAATTCTGAGGAACAACATTCTGAAAATGAACAGGTGCATAAAGGCATAGAAGATATAATTCAAAGGCAGTAAATCTAAAGACGTTTAGTCTCTCATTGATCGAGAAAGCCACCTGCGCTAGTAAAGAAGGCACTGTCCCAAGCCAAACTTTGGCGCAAGTAGCTTGGTCTTGCTGGCACAAAATCATGACAAGATAGCTTCTGTCCCTCTTGCTGGAGCTTTTCCAGTGGTGTGCTTTCAATTTCTTGAGACGGTTGAGACTCTGGCGACTTGAAGCCCTCATGCTTATTTGGATTATCATATCTTACTGAAAGAGTCAATTTTTTCAATGGCCTTTATGTCAGGGGAGAGAAGAGAGTTTGAAATCGAATGAGTGGATAAAAGATGTTTTAATTGGCGATCTCTACAACTGCTGATGTACTTATGTTATTACATTTTGATTTCAGTTACTTGTGACATATGCATAGAGGGTGAGCACTTCAGCTCAAATGTCCTAGACTACTACTCATAGTCATCAACTATATCTATTCTCAATTCCCTTACATAAATACATAAAACCATTGCAACTATTGATTCCTTTGCTATACATGCGGCACATAGATTACACAGTTGAATTGCACTATTCTCAGAGAGCAAGTAATGAGAAGTATAACTTTTAGTGCTAAATTTAATGCATATGTGCAACATAAGACCAAGACACAGACAATATCTCCACTCGACAATAGCTCCACTCGACAATAGCTTTACAAAAAGAACACGAAAAATGTGTCCATTAGTGGTTGCAGATTCTAAAATGATGAAGACAGATCCTGACAACTTTTTTTCAAAGTTTGGGTAATACAAAGATTATGATTTCTTGTATTTTCCCTCTTAAAGGCCTCAGCTTGTTCAACTTAAAGCACTCTATGCAGGGTCCAAAAAATTTATAGACCCTGAAAATTACATTATATTAGTTTATGTGGAGGGACAAAGGGGGGAAAGGGGAGGGGAGGGGACACAAATCATTGTTGAAATGACCTTGTCCTTCATCAGATTATAGAGAAGAACAGAGTGAACGTGACAAAATCAAGATTTTGTTAATCATGATTGACCTCCATTGAAAGATGCATTAAGCCCATTTGAACCAATAGCATGGGGTCAACAAGAATATGAATAATCGATCTCCCAGTAGTGAAATAGATCAAGGAAAACGGAAGTAAACGTTTATTTCCATCTTTTTTCCTTCTCCCAAAATGCAGATATTCCACATAAACAGAGAGATCAAAACAAGAGTGCATCATGATATTGCCCCAAGATTGTAACTTTATAACCCCTTCCAGCTATAAAGAACTATCCCACACCAGAATTGTCTCCAGGTTAATGCTCAAAATTTAAGCTCAATTCGATCAAGAAAGCGTTACTTCGAGCAGTAGTTTCACAAGAAAAGGTGAAAATTGGCAAGACCCAATTCAACAAATCCGAAGATGCATTCAAGTTCATCAATACAGCGATATCAATTTTGAAGTCCAAGAACATGAACAAAAAGGGACAAGACTATCAAGAAAATAATGAAAGGAGTAAAAAATTAACCTGAGAGGCGAATACATTGGTCTTCAAGAGAATCAAAATAATCAGAATTGATGAGAAGATCATCATCCTCCTCTGTAATATCGATAAGCTTTTCACCTTCAAGATCGCCATATATGAAACTAAGCTCCTGCTTCACTATTCCACTTTCCATTTTGCAGCTTCACTCACTCAACCGCATCTGCAATCACCATGCACGCATGCATGCCTAAATTTGGCTTGGTCTTGAACTTCAAAGTACCAAGAGCACTTGTATACGAATTCACAATATATTCTGGTGGTGCTGGAGCGTTAAGCTTTTGTGATGATGGGGGAAATATACGTTGAAATGCCGGGATTTGAATTTTTGATGAAATATTGGCAGATTTTCTTTCTCACTTTGGCAATTAATGGGGGGTTTTAAAAAATAATCATTGATTACAAATAACTATTTCGAAACGGTCGCCAAGGCGCCTGAGGTTTAATTACCTAAACCCAATTATGGAAATCATAATAAACTCTTTTTGGTTATTGAGATTTGCTAAAAAGGATACTTTGCAAAAGGGATAAAAGAAATTTAAAAAAAAAAATTATAAGTTCCAACACTATAAATTTATGATGTTCGTTTGTATCGGCTGTTTTAATCCTCTAGTGAGAAGGTGCATTAGATGAATGATTAATGCAGGGATTAAAATTTCAATAGTTATAGAAGTGCAGGGTATGAAGGTATAACGTAGAGGGGTGGAACTTAACAGACTCTTGTTGTAATTGTAATTTGCAACTTTCAGTAGATAAAATCATAATAGTTATATTAGCACAAATGGCTTATATTTTACGAAAATTGGTTCAGGGATTTGATTTTTTTTTTTTCTGTCTTTTAACACTAGTCTGTAAAATACAAATAGAAGAGGAGATTGAAGTAAGAAGATAACCAAATTGAACGAGCAATACTAGGATGGTATTCCGTTTATATGTATTAAGTTAACATTAAGGGTCCGTTTGTTTCGGGTGAAAATATTTTCCAGGAAAATATTTTCCTAATTTCCCGTGTTTGGTTACACAAAAGTTACTGAAAACATTTTCCTATGTAAAATATTTTCACCCATCTTATGGAAAACAACTTCCCTTCCAAATTTACTGAAGTTGTTTTCCGGAATGCATGCATTCCGCCTGTAGTATGTTCCAAACTTACTGAAAACATCTTGTAGTATGTTCTTTTTTTTTTAGTGTAAACAGGAGAACTCGAACCCAAGACCTCTTCCTTACACTCCCTCCCCCGTACCACCCAACCCAACCCTCCCCTAGTATATTCAAAATTAAAAAAAAAAAACCTCATCCTGCTCATCCTATGCTAGTAATTAATAATGTATAATAGGGACATTCTTTTTTAGAGAAACTTTCAACAGTGAGAGTGCAAGATATATGTCACAATATGCATTGCATGTGATTGATATTTGACACTAAATGGCCAGCAATTTGTTTATTGCTTGAGGAGATATTTTTTATTCATATATACATTTCTCCAAGATTTTTTAAAGTTAAACAATGAGATAAATTTTCTTATTTTGCATGGAAAGAAGTATGTAATTATAATGTGTAGAAAGTAAAGATAGAGATAAAAGTGAAAATATTTCAAAAGTTAAACAAACACCAGAAAAATGAAGTAAGAAAATATTTTCAATAAACTAACCAAACACCTGAAAATGATGAAAGGGAAATGATTTTCATGGAAAATTACTTCCACGAAAATTTTTTCCCAAGGAAAACATTTTACTTCCAACCAAACAGACCCTAAATGGAAAAGGTGCAACTCTTTACAGGTGAAACCTAACACCAAAGTTGTGGGTGGCAAGTGGCAACTACAAACTATACAGAGATCCTGAGGAGAAGGGTTGGTGTTATTGGCAATGTGGAAACCGTTTGATCTTCCTAACCAATACAACCATTTGATCATGAATTTCAACTTTTAGGGGACTTATGTTTTCAGGGTGTCCATTCACAGTGATGTAACCATCGATCGCTTGGACGTGGTAAGATGATAGCACAAGTAAGATTAATGAAAGACTAGTTGCTATAAAATTTGGCATGGCAACGGAAGAGGGAGGAAGTAACAGGGCGGGGCGGGGACGGAGGGAATTTTTCTCTCCCGTTTTAAATGGGGCGAGGGACGGTATCCCCATCCCGTCCCCCATTTCAATTTATTAATATAAATAAATATATTATATTATATTATATTATAATAATAATAATAAATTTAAAATATTTGGCAACTAAGCATAGCCTTTATCTCCAAATTCCTAATTGATATTTGGCACAAATATGTTACGCGTCCTATGAGTATTCTCAAATATTATTTATACAATTCAATTGAATTTCTTAATTTCTTGACGTTTTATTTCAACGCTTTTCTTGTTTTATTTTTCTTTTTTCAGTTTTTTCAGTTTCATATTTAATTTTATTCTTTGAATTTAGTTTTGATCTTTTAAATAAAAACTTCCACCCAAAAAAAACCAAATTATCTCTCGCGGACACCCGTGGGAGAAGCAGGGCGGGGATTGCACTTGTGGCTTGTTCTGACTTGACTGCTCAAGTGGTGTGGCCTTTACCATTCATATATGTATCAAGTAGTAAATGAAAAACAGCAGGAAGTTTACCGAGGTACAAGTTGCAGTTCATCAAATGTCCTCGAGGGGCTGAATACTTGGAGGGGATGGATATCATATCATCCTACCTTTGATTGTTGGCCGCTATGATAAACAAAGGTAGCAGCCAGCGTCTTTCCACGGTTGTATCTGGATTACCATACCAAGTCCCGACTCCTGAAGTCCTTTTTATTTAGTTCATGCCATGCTTCGTTTTCTATCACTTTCCAGTTGACCTGATTGCGAATGCATGTTTTCACTTTTCATCCCTTGTTTCGCTTTTCCTACGTCGATCAATCGCAATTGGAATATAAATTAACACCAAAAATACCAATTATTACCTTTAGAATTTGATGAACGACAAGCCAAATCTGTGGAATATTTACGACAAATAATTTGTTAACCAATGATGTAGTATAGAAAATTGGAACTATAGGGTAACAGAGAGAAGCCGAAGAAGAGGAAGACGAGAAATAAGGTACGTTAAGTGTTCCGAACCCCCACAATGGTAATTAATGCACACGAATAGGGTTGAATGACAATCTAATTTCCCGATACTTGAATTGAATTCAGTTTGATAAGAGATCGTTGGGCTTGTTTTGCCGATTACTTGCCATGCATGAACAAGATACAAAATCAGAAAAAATTTCAAATTCAGCCTTCAGCTCAATAAATTTGAAATTTTGTATTTGGAATTTATGTGCCAAATAAACAAGCAATAGTTGCAGTTGAACTTGAAAAAAAAAAATAAAACAAAGGACATTTCAACCTTGAACGCAATTTCAAGTTTGTTATCACAAATAAACAAAACTTATCGGCAGCAGTGCTCAACACAACTGGGGTCGTTTATGCCTCTACTGGTTAACATTTAGGAGTACAGATTGCACGCTAGTACCATCAAGGGTGGAAGATCTCAAGGCTCCAACAAAAATTGGCACTACATCTTTCCGGCTCAGAATCCACATCAAAAGAAGATTTAAGCTGCAGATACTGTTACTAGGAAGGTCTCTCATACTGCAACTATCACCAGGAAATTTTAAGCTGCAGATGCACCCAAAAGTTGATGGTGGCAGCAGCCCAAAAAAGAAATAGAAGTGAACGAGAAACGCAGAAAAAAGCATCAAATATAAGCTTATGTGAGCAGCTTTTGCTTATTACCTTAGGAAAAACAAATGTTCAGTAACAAAGCGCCTCTCACTAGGGTAGAAGATGTACAACAGGCAAAACGAAAAAGAAGGAAAGTGTAAAACAGCACATTATGTTACAGTTTGATGACACCCGGTTGGAGGAAGTTTGCTAGTCATCCAACATAAAGACCACATTATTCTTCTTAACAAAGTTATGTGTTGTGTGGTCGACCACCTGAAAAAGAGCAAGTAACATCACATTCTTGAAGAAAGGCTATTTTGAATACAACAAAATGCAGATGCACACATAGCATAAGTTAAATACACAACCACAAAACTTATCTGGACTAACAAGCCTTTGAGAATGGCTTGCTTAACAAATTAATGCTGATGGGCAAAGATGACGAAAAAATTTCTCCTAAGATTCACAGTGCCCTGGTCCAAATAAAATATATATACTTATTGCTAAACTGAACCTATAATTAGATCTAGCCTCTTAACTATTTAGCAGCATTTATTTACAAGAAAATATTTTGATTCAGTAAGTTGAAAACTCTAGAGCAAAGCAAGATCATAGGATTAGATGAGAGAGATCAATAGCCCTCTTTGCTTTAGCATGGCATGTATTGACTTCCACAATGTTGTAAAGAACTTGTACAGAGAGAACTTTTGGTCGCTGAACATGTTGCTCTCATCAACTTCTGAGAGAAAGAATGGTTCTTCTTCTCATTTATCAATTACCCCCACTAGTGATTCATTGATGCTCTAGCCAGCATTGCACAACTAACATTTAACGTACTTAACCCCAAGGGAAATGATGAAAACAGAAAGCGACAGGAGTAGAAAAGCTTTAAGAAGATTAAATGGTTTAAGATTCACACAGCCAAGATTATCTTCCACTCTTTGCCACGAAAGCAACACTTACGTCATTTTAGATCAATTTACCTTTTCTCTCTAGCTGATTATTAGAGTTATGAAGAATGTTCACTATTCTTAGTGGTACACTAATTTGTGTCTGGGAAACTTTTTGGATGAGCACTACTACATCTTTTGTTTGACTGTAGAACCTATATGTTTCGATCCAGCTTTTACTCCAAGGTGCATAATGGTCAAGACATCAGATATAACTCTAGCATGTTTTTATTATTATTTTTTTTTAAGTTTTGAACCTGACAAATAAAGTGAAGATGGTGCTATCTTTTCCTCAGCAAATAGCTGAACCCCATTGACACCTTCAATCCAAGCTTTCTCTTATGATTCGTCCATATAGTAATGGCATCTTAAAATTGCAAAGAAACTAAAGATGTCTATTCCAACATTTGCCATGCCTTGGAGTCTCTGACATAATCACTTCCACAATCAAGTCTATCAAGTTTCACAGTACAGTATGAAGGAAGCCAGATTGTTGGACTGAATCTCATTACACACCCCCAAGACCAAGTATATCATACTAGGATTGACAACATCAATTTAAACTATAGTGAATTGAAGAGAATGCCAAGTAATTGACAGAAATCACAAAAAGAAAAAGCAGTATAAATCGACTGACTTAAAAAATTGCTTACATTGGTGTTGCTGAGTTCTAGGTTGTAAAAGTCCATTGCATCTTGCTTAAACAGAGGCCCTGCGTGCCACGTACCACGATTCAACTTCAGAAACTTAGCACCTGAAATTCTGAAGGCACGCACATCATCAACAAAGGGAGGAACATGGTAATGGCCGCAATGTGATTGTATAACGTCCACCCCTGTTGTGCCCTTAATTTCACTTGGATCGACAATTGATGGTTTAGCAACTCCAAGATACCAGACATTGCCACCAATTGAACCCAAACACTGGGTGACATTAGCATGATGGGTTATGTTGGAAAACTTGAGAGCCCTATCTTCAAGATGCATAATATAAAACCTGGAAAAGTAGGCATACATAGAAAGCACGAATAAAAGAAGTTACTTTGTCCAGTTGAAAAGAGCAAAATATCTGGTGTATGAAAAATGGTTCTTATCGTGGTGCCAATTTTTGTTAGGTGTCATAGCATGAAAGAGGAAATTTGGACTCCTCAATTGATTATTGTGTACCCATGAAAAGTTAAGCATGCTTGACACTCACCCAAATTGTCTCGTTTAAAAGCCTAGCTCCCTGTCAGTAAGAAGGCGCTAGAAAAATGAAATGAAACATGCAAGCTGCTATTTTTCCATGTCAAGTTTTTTAATAATAGCAAGATAGAATTTAGAAAAAAAAGTGCAGAAATGACCTTGCGCCCTATGTTTGAATGGACTTGTATACTTAATCCTTCGATTAATCAATACAGAAAAACTATCCGTTGCTGAAATTTTATTAACGTAGTACTACAATGCATGCACATAATTGTTATGTTCTTAGGTATTATATCTTCTAAAAACCAAAGAAATTAACACTAGCAATGAAACAGTATGCCAATGAGAAGTCCACTTCACCCAAAAGAAAAGCAAATAAATTTAGCAGAAACCCAAACGAACTCAACGCCCCCAAATAGCTCTCAAGGCAATTTTTTAATACATCAATTAATTATTGCAAATTCACAATTAACATCAAAATCAAACAAGGAGATGGATAGAGAGAGACAGAGACCGGGGAGGGGGAGGGGAAGAGGGAACCTAGGAATCCCACGGGAGAGGTCAAGTTGAGCGTCAGCAGGGCCAAACTCTTCACCATCAGGGCTGGCCTCAATCACTTGGCCGAATTCTTGGAAGGTCTCTGGAGTGGCTTCAATGGGTTTCAGCTTCACCACAGCCGGCGCCGGCTGCGACGTCGTTGAACCGTTGGAAGATTCCATCTTTGGAGCTACGGCTTTAGTACTGCTACTAGTGTAATATTGTGGCAGCAGAAGAGGAAGAACAGCTTACAGTCGAAAAAAGAGGAGGATTTTGGTGGCCCTCACCTCACTCTTTATTCTCCAGGCATCCACAATAATACATGTCACGTCGCATTTCACTATTTTCTTTTTATTATACTCTCATTCAGAATTCTGAATTACATTATAAAAAATATAATAGCATCCACAAGTATATCAAATATTTATTTTAATAATATATAATTCATTTCTTGTAAATAAATAAATTTATTATTTTAAAATTGATTATTTTTAAAACTACTAAAATTCTCATCATAATGACAAAATACTGAAATTTTAAAAATTATGTAAAGAAGTTGAGGACAATGAATAGGGAGTAGGAGATTGCGAGGTGAAATAAAAAAGGTGCCTTGTGTATTTATGGGGAGAAAACTAAAATGTTTGTTGTCAATGTCCATTGTAAAATAGTCAGAAAATGATCATTGTAAACGGTTAGAAAATATTCGTTGTAAAAAAAACAAAATAGAACGTTGTTGTATAGATTCTTTCCCTTGTTATCATCACAGTCGAGTCCTACTTTTAACTCCATTACACGGTGCAAACCTGATGATATGCATAATATATATTACACGGCTCCAATGGGTGTCCTTCCTCTAATATAGAATGATGGATTAGATTATATAAATGTTATGATAGTCGAAAAAAAAAAGGTTCTATGGCACCTCGTTGTAGTTGCTCTTTGCTCTTCCAAGTGAAGTGGCGATGACGGGGATGGTTCCTGTCCAGAGAGTTCTTTTACCGTTCCTGGGAATTCTCGCTCTCATTTTTGGCCATTTTGGATTAATTAATATTTTATTTTTTTGTTCATTGAATCACTTTTCGGAAAAAAAAGGGTGAGTGGTTGAGGTTTTGTTTATAGATAAAAATAAATTTAGTCAAGTCACGAAATGTTTTAGTGTTCAGACTTATTTGATTATACAGTTTAACATTGTGTTGAAGTTTTGAACCAAACTCGAGTCGAATTTGATTAACTTGAGCTTGTTTACCTATGAATTCCAATTTTATGTTAATCAAATCAAGCTCAAATTGAGTTTGATATTTTACCAAACACAAAAAGGCCATTTAGGCTTGATTTGATTAGTTCTTACACTAAACGCGAAATTTTGAATGAGTTCTTATCAATCCGAATGATCGAATGATTGATTATGAATAGTTTGGTTCGCTCTTCAATCCAAATTTTATCGTGATTCTACACTTCTTGTACTCTTTATATATATTTTTTTGTTTTTATCTTCTACTCCTACAATATAGAAAAAGCCTAACCATACCAATGGGTTTGGACGCGACACCATCAAATGGATCTGAAGAAGTAAAGCCCATTACTAGCCAACACCGTTAGACCACATAAGTTTTGTACTCTTTATATGTTAGTGTCACGCATCTATCATATTTTATTTTACATAGTATATTTTTTTAAAAAAAATCAAGAAAGAAAAGAATGAAATTTAAGATTCGAAGAGAACGAAAGAAATTGTGAAATTTAAAAAGCAAAAAAAGACTAGGAACATGACAACTCAACTTAAATAATGACTATCCACACACACACACACCAAAGAAGAATAGATATTGCGTTCAAATAGAAGATTCAAGTTGATGAGAAAAGTGGCACCAATCATCCTTTTGCTTTGTGCTCATCATGTTCACAACTCATCACCCAATGTTAACTTGTCAGAATAAAGGGATTCATAGCCTAATAGGTGATCAAAAAAAGGGTTGATTACATGCCATAACTCAGAAGTCTGGGAATTCCCTGCTGATTTAGATCAATTTAATATTCGAATGAGAAATTTAAGAACTTGCATGTTACCAAATAAATGGTACCCAATAAAAGAGGTAAGAATCATTCATCGTTTCCGCTGTGATCAGTTTTTTACCTGTGCTTTTCTTGTGCCGGTGCAGAAGAATTGGATATGTTTTGCACTTTTCTGGCACACGAATGCTTGGGTCAATAATCTTTCTGCTCCTCCGGTACTTCTTTCGAGTTTAAGCAATCTAACGGAATTTGCTTCCTCAATGAATCAAACCTTGAATCACAGAAAATGAACCCAAACCCCCCTCCAAACCCCTCCTTAAACCCTTCTCAGCTGATCACCACCATCACCAACCTCCTCACCACCCAAAAAAGCCCCTTATCGCCGCCCTCCTCCGCCCTCCTCCGCCCTTATCTCCCCCACCTAACCCCACCGATCCTCCACTCCATTTTCACTTCCCCCACCCTCCTCTCTTCCCACCCCACTTCCCTCCTCTCTTTCTTCAAGCTGGTTCAATCCCACAAGCCCTGCCTCACCCTCCCCCTCCCTTCCCTAATCTCCCTCCTCAATTCCCTCTTCCGCCGCAACAAATTTGCCGATGCCAAGGCCCTCCTCCTTTCCTTCATTTCCTCCGATCACCCCCGCCACAACCTCCACCACCACCTCCTCCACCCCTCCAAATCCCTCCCTCCGCCCAATAATGCCCTTTTAGACACTTCCATTGGCGCCTACTGCCAATGCGGCCACACCCACCTCGCCGCCATGGTTTTCAAGAAGATGAAGCGCCTCCGCCTTCGCCCGAATCTACTCACTCTCAATACCCTCTTGAATTCGCTGGTAAAGTACCCTTCCACCCACTCAATCCATTTTTGTAAAGAGTTATTGAATGATGCTCTTAAGCTCGGCGTTAAGACAAATACAAATACTTTTAATATCTTGATAAGCGGATATTGTTTGGAACATAAGTTCAGAGATGCTACTATTTTGTTGAATGAAATGAGGGAGTTTGGTTGTGAACCAGATAGTGTGAGTTATAATACGATATTGGATGCCTTAGGTAAGAAGGGGAGGTTGCAAGAGGTTCGTGATTTATTGCTCGATATGAAGAACAGAGGGTTGGTTCCGAATAGGAATACGTATAATATCTTGGTTAATGGGTACTGTAAAATGGGGTGGTTGATGGATGCTGCTAAGATCATTGAGTTGATGACCCAAAATAGTTTGTTGCCTGACATTTGGACCTACAATATGTTGATTAACGGGTTGTGCAATGAGGGAAGGATTAATGAGGCGTTTAAGCTTTGTGACGATATGGAGGGGTTGAAATTGTATCCCGATGTGGTTACTTATAATACTTTGATTAACGGGTGCTTCAAAAATGGAAGAAGTTCTGAGGCTTTTCAGTTGCTTGAGGAGATGAAAGGGAGAGGAGTGAAACTAAATGAGGTTACTCATAATATCGTGGTTAAGTGGTATAGTAATGCAGGGAAGATGCATGAAGCTAGTGATGTTTTACGTAGGATGGAAGAGGATGGGTTTTCTCCAGATTGTGTAACCTACAACACTTTGATAAGCGGATACTGCAAAGCTGGGAACTTGGCTGAAGCTTTTAGAATAATGAACGAAATGGGTGGTAAAGGTTTGAAAATGGATACTGTGACTCTGAATACTGCTCTTCACTCTCTTTGTCAACAAAGGATGCTTAATGAGGCACGTGACTTACTTAAGAGTGCAGTAAAGCGAGGCTACATTGTTGATGAAGTTAGTTATGGCACTCTAATTGTCGGTTACTTTAAAGATGAAAATGTCGACACAGCTCTCAAGCTCTGGAGTGGGATGAAAGAAAAAGGTATTTTTCCCAGCATTATCACATACAACTCTGTGATAGCAGGGCTTTGCAAGACTGGAAAAACTGAACAAGCAATGGGGAAACTCAATGAGCTTTTGGAGAATGGGTTGGTCCCTGATGAAATTACCTACAACACTATTATTCAAGGCTACTGCTGGGAGGGAAATATTGAGAAAGCATTTCTCTTTCACAATAAAATGGTTGAGAAATCATTCAAACCTGGCATCTATACATGCAATATTCTTCTTCGTGGGCTTTGTAGGGAAAGGATGCTTTCAAAAGCTATCAAGCTATTTAACACATGGATATCAAAGGGGAAAGTACTTGATGCAGTAACTTACAACACATTGATAACGGCCTTATGTAAAGAAGGGAGGCTTGATGAGGCATTGGGCCTTGTTGCTGAAATGCAAGAAAAGAAGCTAGAGCCTGACAGTTACACATATAATGCCATTGTTGGTGCATTTGCTGATGTGGGAAGAATAAATGAAGCGAAGGAGCTCCTGCCAAAAATGGCTGAAATGGGAATATCATTTGACCTACCTGCAGCAATAAACAAAGAGCAAGATGCCGCTGGTGAATCATCTGATCAGTTTGATCAAAGTTCTATTGCTACTGCAGAGCAGATAACTGAGCTATGTACTAAAGGGAGATTCAAAGATGCCATGCATATATATGGAGAAATGACTAAGAAGGGTATTGCTGTTCACAGATCTGCATATATTGCCCTAATGAATGGGCTTGTCAAGAGGAGGAAAAGTACACTGAAGTCTGTTTGATTTTTGTTTTGGTGTTGCGTGGCTCATCTCCTTTGCAAACTGGAAAAATATAGTTGGCCATACCAAGTAAGGTTGTTTCTTCCTTCTTTCTTTTTTACTATTAACATGTTCCTTACATTGTGAAGCTTGATATGTTGGTATGTCTATGCTGGTTCATACTGAATATGTGACTTCATTAATAGAGCTAAGCATGATGACACGTTCAAGCAAGCATTAATTGTGTCAAATCTGTATTGATTCCCAACAATCCCATCGAAACTCTTGAAATGTTGTTTGACTATTTCTGATCATGTCTTTCAGCTAGGATGCTTCTGAAGGACTTGTCTATTATGTGTCTCACTAAGTGTTATGCATATCTAAAACATGGACATGAGGTGTAGTCTTGCATTTTGAGGCATAATTGGTAATTAGTGTCAGACAAAAGGATAAATACTGTACGATCTATATTTTGTAGGTATTAGTGATGTTACGGGTTGTAAGAAAAGCAACATTTGGTGATTCCATAAATCCCATTAGCCTTTACCTACATCACAAGGTCCACATGTTAGGCCATCAACACAATTCTGTGTAAGAGTTGTTATACTGCTATTAGGTTGGCAGGTTGATGTGCTTCTTGGATGCGTGCATAACTATCTACTAGTTGACGATGCTTAAGATTCAGGTGAAGTAAATATTTGTTGTTTAGTGTCTGCCATTATCGTCCCTTATATTTGTTCATCTCTGATGCAGCATAACTTGAGATGCTGACCTTTAGATGTTTAGTTTAAAAGTTCTGTCATATGAAGCATGTGCTGCAGTTCCTCTTTTCAATTTTGCCAAGTCCATATGATGACCATCGTACATCAATGTCTTTCTGTTCATAAACACAGGAGAAGCATACTATCTGTTCATGAAATGTACTATTTCTTTAATCTGGAGCACGTGCTGCAACACATCTTTAATCTGAGCAAGTTCATGTGATGATAGTCATGTACATTAATGTTTTTCTTTTCACAGACACAGAAAAGCATGCTATCTGTTTATGAATTGAACAGTTGCTTTGAGAGTTATTTTTACTAATCAAAAGGAAGCATTGTATTTTTCTTTGTAGTTATAAGTTGGAAAGTCTTACACTTTTGACACAGAATAGCAGTTCTAAGTTATTAGAGGTGGCTGTCTGTGTTGCTGCTACATGAGCAAGAGGTTGACTGTGGACATTCTTTCTTCAAGTTCGAGTGTCAGGATGAGCATCTCAAAACTGGTTGGGTTTCATTTTCAACTGCTTCAGGTTGGTTTTATGGTGGCAATCCCATTAGCATTCAGATGTTGTGGTGTTTGATGTGGTAATGCCACTCTGAAGGTGGAATTCCCTTCCCTTTTATGTTAGTGTCTGCTGAGGTGGCAGTTGTCAGTAGCAGTGGAGCAGGTTTATCTAGAGCTGTTATGGAGTATATCCAGTTTGGAAAGCATTGACAAGATTGAGAGAAAACCTTTCCAGGATCTACACAGTAGAATTTACAGGTGTAACTTTGGTCTTACCAGGGAGGTTGTTTTGAGATAAACAGGATTCATGGGCTTTTCCCTGTTGGTCCATTTCATTGCTGATATGATATTGGAGCGAGTGGGTACCCTCTATTTGATTATCAAATATCGTAGGAAAGTTGAAGCTCTAATTGATGCTGTAATTGCGATGCTATTCTCACAGATGATAAGGTAGAAGACAAAGGTTCAGCATACTTGGTGCTTTATGTGAAACAGGTGGATGGGCTGGTGAGAACACAGATCATCTGCGCCCTTATCGGGTCTTGTCTGGTACCTAAAAGCATATAAGATTTTAGGATGGCTTGTGATTGCTGAGTGCTATCAGGAGCTGGATTAGTTTCTATTGTCTGATGCCTAGCTAAGAGCATAAAATTTTGACGTGGTGGTTGTGAGAGGAGACAGAGTTTCCAAAACAGAAAGGCATGGCAGCCTTGCCACTCAAGCTATTTTCTGGACACTTTGTTGGAAAAGAAACTGGAGAGCTATAGTTTTGGCAGTTGTAATATGTAGAGCTGTGGTATGACCCCTGATTTGTTCTGTTCATTACCTTGGAGGTCCCTTATTCCATGGACGGTTAGATTATTCTTTTGCACTGCTTTTTGGCAGTTAATTGTATACTTTGTATAGGCATTACTCCTTGTACCAAAACAATATTATCTCGACTACATTTTATCTCTTGTGTTGTCAGAAGTATAGGTGCCCTCATAGAGGTTGCAGAAATTCTTGGCATACCATTGATTCTATGCAGCGACAGGAAAATTCGAAGACTAGCTTAAACTCACTTGTCTCTAAGTCAATCAATTATTAGCTCCTTTATTCTTCTTCTAAACCATATTAAACTTTTTTTTTTTAAATCTTTTCTTCTATGTTAATGCACTTTTTAAGTAAAACGCTATTTTATAGTTAATTGATACACAAGAGGAAAAACTGGGCTCAAGACTCTGCTCTTTTACATTTAGCCTTGAATTGATGATGCATATGGTGATCTGAAATGTTTTGCTAGTTCCAGCTATGTATAATCTTGGTGACCCACATGTTGCAGGGAACAGCTTGTACGCAAGAACACATGCCCTTTTTGGCCATCAATTTTCGAAGAACTGCACTACTCATTAAAGCTCAGGAGCAGGGCTGGGAAAGCATATTAAGCTTTGTGGAGGACAATATAAATGATTGGCGGCACGGTTGTGGAGGACATAAACTTAGTAAGTGAGATTATGTGGAAGGATTCCTTCCCTCCTCTTTGGTTTATCTAGATTAGCCAAGGATGATAATACTAGAAGCAATTGCCCCTCCTCTTTGGTTTATCTAGAAGCAATTGCCCCAACTACGTAATACTATATTTTCTTTAAGCTGATAAACGAGCTATGTTATCGTTTGCAGCCCAGAAGAAAAAAAAAATGGACTCTAGTAAATGGTATATCAACAACTCAAATTTGACCAAAGAAGAAAATGGAATCCCAAATGTGAAACTGAGAAGCTGAAAGTACCCTCAAAGTATACTGTAGCAGCGGCTAATACGTTTTTGTTTGACGAGTGAATTGCAACGTTGATCACATCGGATCAATATCTCATCGTTTTGACCCTTTCCACAAAATCTAAGTCGTACACGTGCAAGGCGTTTTTCCTCAAATTATAAGCTTCTTGCCGGTCCACGCAGCTAAAAGAGTCTCGGTATGACATATAAATCTCCGGATTAGGGGTCATAAAATTGTCGTTACAGGTAATGATGGGGATGGATTCAATTTGAAAATTGGGCAAATAAGATTTGATTTGAGGACACAATTTTCAGAGGCTGCCAAAATTTGTTCTTTTTTTCATATATATATTATTGTTTTAGTATCTACATTTATTACGTCAGTATCTGCATCAGTTGTATTATTATCTACACTGTATCAAACAATTGAAATCGGTGATTGTTGAGACTCTAAAACCTAAATCTTGTATGCAATTGGCAGATTTCTTCGTCATGATCTTGAATTCTTGAGGTTTTTAACATTGTTTAATACTAGAAGACAAGGAAACAAAAAATAGGCATACTTTTCTTGTAGAAATAAGTGGTTTTTGGTACCTCCAAATTCATTTTCATCTTCCCTCCAAATAATGGATAATAACAAAGTCGTACCTGCAAAAGGAAAAAAATGAAACACGATAGTAGAATTTACAACAACATAACCACGTTACTGGCCAATTGCAACCTGCTCAAATTTTTTTTAAAAAAAAAAAGGAATTTTTTTCACTAAACTTCGAACGAAAATTCTCAATACAATGCACGAATTTATTCTCAATACTGGCCAATAAGTGTTTTTTTAGCTCATTTGCCCCAAATCCCAATTAATAAGTGTACAATTTAATCCATTTCAATCACAATTGAAACTGTAAAATCAGCTTCAGGGTATGCATACAAATTTCAAAGTACTTATTTGTTTAACACAACCAGTGTAAGAAAACAATTTTTTTTTTGTCTCTCTTTATCTATCATTACGCCTTTCTAAATGCTGCTAGCTCCGAACTTCTACCCAAAAAAAAAAAAAAAGCAAAGATTTTAATGGTTAAATTTCGTTGTCAAAGACTTGAGATTTTCAAGTCCACCAGTGAAAGTGAGATGAAAAGGGCCTTTCCAATTTAATTTGTCGTGGTGAAATGGGACAGATACTACATTTATATACTTAACTCACATGCATGCTAATTAACCTGAATGTGTATGTGATTTATTAAGTTGAAAACAGATGGAATCTGGAAGAAGGCAACAGAACACAGTTTACATATCGCATAAATTTCGGCTCTAACTTTGTCATTCAATTGCCTTTTTCTTCAAATTAATGGACAATAAAAGAAATACGTACATAATCAACTTTAGAAAATTATTTGCTTTGAACAGTGAAATCTTCTGCTTGTGGTGGAAGAAGCTGAGATAAACCACTGATGATGTGCTTATTATATCTATACTTGTGAAGAAATTGCTATGATATATTCAAGTGCATGGACGGCGCTAGTGATGGGTCAAGAAATAGAAACAAGAAGTTGATGATATATATATATATATATATATATATATATATATATTTTCACACAGTTGCAAATTAAGATAATCTACTCTAGTCTCCATCTCAACTTTGTCAGCGAGAAGAAAATATTAAATGCAACAGACATATTATTTTCTTATTTCAATGTGACTGAAAACCTTTACTTTCAGACATCTTTGTAGCAAAGGGCTTTTTTAGTAGATGAATAACAGTTTTGGACGAATGATAATTATGTAAAATTTGAACGTAAAATCCAACTTTTGTACTTGTGCTATATGAATCCAATACGGATAGTGTGTATACTGTCAGTACATGTAAGATTTACTCTTTTATCTTACGCCTAATAATTTCTGCTTAGGCGCGCTACGCCACCACAGAAAAAGCTGTGCAAGATGGACAAAAAAAAAAAGAAAAAGAAAAAGAGGTAGTAATATAAATCGACTAGGAAGCTCTTTGATGCAGATCAAAATAGCAATGGGGTGAGACTGGAATGACCGTTTTGCAAGACAAGTGGAAAAGTTTAACGAATAAATTGATGGAAATTAATATTTAAGGACTTAATTAATGAACTTCTGGTTGAACTGCACATAGGTCATGCTCTGGTTATGCATCCGTGACCATATCAACTGGGAAACAATCCATACATTACAGACTAGTAAAATCTTTGTTTGCCTGTCTAGTTACGATACTATATACAATGACATACATGATATGAAGTTTGAACGCATTCGTTTTTCCAATGCCGACTTGAATTTCACCTCTAGTCTTCCCTCATGCCTCTCTGCCTCTGGAATAAGTCTGCATGCATGAGTCAACGTAAGATGTTGAGTACAGCAAAATCCCATTTGATAGGACTATGTATTGGCTGTAAATTCAAACCGGAGAAGGGCTGAATAGATCTCGACGCTGACTTTTACTAGTATCAGTCCTATACCTGACGAGTGTTTTTGACAAAAAAAAAAAAAGGACGAGTGGAAAATTAAACCTCAATTTCCTGGTTGTACTAGCTAGTCTGAAAACAAGCTGGAAGGCCCTCTATTAACTATGTCCTTCTGATTGAGATGGCTTTTTGAATCTTGACTATCCACTTGTAGTTGGAATTCATTAGTTTTTTTCTTCTTCCAAAACAGCAACTTATATTTATAAAGATAATCATTACATCATGAGTTTGTACTGAGAAAATGCCTAGACAGGCACATTTTTGCATTATTAATTAAGAACGTGGAGTTTTAATGTAGAAAAAAAAAATTATGCCATGTATAATCTTTGGAATCCTATGCTAACATAGTTTAGGATATATATAATCTTTGGAATGACTTCCAAATTGACTTCTTTTTTTTTTGGTTTGTCTCGATTAGCTTCCACGTAAACTATACAGGATACAGCTGTAAGAAAAAGACATGGCTAAGAAATTGTTTGCATATGGTCGCCCCTCAGTAGTCCTTGTTGATAAATTTTGTCTGCATTTCTGCCATTATCATTTGACTACAGACTATATATGGATCACCAAAACCAACTCCATAAACTCCAAAGCAACGACTCAAACCAACATAAGAATACTTCAGAGCTTTGGATTTAGTTCCAAACATAAAACCTTCCATTGCAAAATATGGAACACTGCCGCCAGCAGAGTACTCCACCATGTCCTGATCAAAATGCAACGCCACCTATCCAGTATCCTTGCGCAGCATGCAAATCTCTCCGCCGTAGATGCCCCGACAATTGTGTCTTGGCCCCTTATTTTCCTTCCTCGGAACCATTGAGGTTCACCATCGTCCACAAAGTTTATGGAGCTAGCAACATTGTCAGAAGGTTGCAGGTATAATGCATGCAGCATGGACAAAGCCTCTTTTTTGTTTTTTTGTTTTTTTACCCTTTTCTTCCTAAATTATGTGGGAATTGGGATGAGATAAATGATGGGCTTAAAGCCCTTAAACCCTATACAACTTAAGTTTGAAGGGGCTGAAATTTTCTGATTTGCATTGTTTTGACTACTTCACATACTGAATTTAGACCACACATAAAATGTCGGAAGTTACCAATTGAAAATCAAAGTCTGCAAGAAGGACGTGTTGATGATATGAAGCCTGAGATATACAAAGGAAAGGAAGATGATATGATGTTCTAATTTGGCATGAAATGAATTGATAAAGAAGGAAAATGTGGGCAGACAATTTTATTCCCTAACTTTGATGCTGTATGATATCTCTTTAACCATCTTCGACTAAACTTTGTTGTCTGATTTACGCACAGCTCCATGCTTGCCACCTTTTTCTTGGATGCATGTACTACTGCAACTTTTGCACATGTTACACTTTGTTGCATGCATCATTTAAACTTAAATTGGTCACGTCTATTACCCTACAATTCAATGTGAGTGATCGGGACTAAGTTGCAAACCTGTATCATTGTGAAATTGAAATATTCGGCCAACGATTGAATAAATCATCATCAATTCTGAATTTTCAGGAACTTCCAGAGCATCAAAGATCAGATGCTATGAATAGCATGGTTTACGAAGCTGCTGCAAGAATCAGGGATCCAGTTTACGGTTGCGCTGGTACAGTGACCCTACTTCAGCAGCAAATTCTGGGGCTTCAAGAAGAGTTGGCGAAAGCGCAGGCCGAGATCCTTAATATGCAATGCCAGATTGCCAATTTAGTCTCGTTAAATTGGATGGAAATGTTTCCGTCGCAAGAGCAAGAACCCATTAATGTCTCGGGGCTGCAGCAAGATATTATCCATATATCGGAA